CAACTCAGTTCTTTACTATAAAACACTTACATTGTGTTTGAAGTTGACAAGGGAAAACATTTGGATCGATGGATTGAGCTTGAACTTCTAGCTATGAAGTTATTCAAATGTATGTGAATCCCATGAAAGACAGAAAACGATTCCAACGGAAATGATAGAAAGCTGTTGTTATTCGAGGATAAAAGGAGATCCATTTCGGTAATTAAAATTACTTTCAATCTTGACGGTGACAGTCTCCTCATCTTATGATATTCTACTTTTCTACAGATCAGAAAAATGGAGAAAGTGAGATTAAACAATTTTGATAGCAATTTTATAATGTAGCTACTACTTCAGGAGATATCTACTTTTCTACAGCAATGGCAACACAGAGGGCAAGCAGAATTAATTTTTCCGTATTTCTATGGAGTAAATCAGCTATACTTCAGTATTTCTTTTTAAAAAAAATTTTGAATTAGTTTAGGGCAAGGGATCTTTTATAAAGGTGAAAGAGAAAATGGAAGCGCTTGAGTATGACTCCATAGTGAGAAGCAAGTAATGCCAGTTTTTCAAACTTGCTGAACTCCTCCATGTGGAAGTTCAAACTTTCATGTGTAGCCAAGGGCAACTGTTAATTTTTCCGTTTTTTGCAGCACAGAAGAGTTTGAAGGAAATTTATCCTGTTTCTGCATTCTTTTGTTGCTCTTTGATCTGCACCGTCACTATAAATACGTTGTGTAAAATCTTACCTTCATAGCGTAGTTCCGTGTTTTCGAGAGACAGCACATTCCAACTGGCTTTTGACTTCGAGTGTAATGAAAGAGCGCCATCCATTTATTCCTATCAAATGTTGGAGCATCTTCGAAAATACAACGCTAGTTTCGGTCTCAAGCTCCAGTTTTCAGAGGTGTTCGTCAAAATGAACCAAGTAGTGATCTATGAACAATACTAATTGTGTTTTGAGGATGGCCTCAGTAAACACCTTGTTTTCGTCAGACTTTTGCCACCGTTCTCCGCAAAAATACTCCCCTTCACTCAATGTTTCAACGACTCTTTCAGAAGGATATGGGATCTCCCTTCAATCTTGATAGTGTAGATGAAGCATTGAAAGAAGCTCTTCAAAGTCCAGTATACGAAGAAGTGCACAGAATACTCTATGGTGAACCACATCCGTGAGTTTCATCCTTTGTTTTATGATGATAAGCTAGAAAAATCATCACTTCTAGAGAGATAGAAGTCCCGAAAGAAGCATTGACAATTGCCGAGAAAAACAGTTTCGATTTGAAATGTTACAAAATCGCTGCTGAACCGGAGCAGTTACGAGCTCCAAGAAAGGTGTGAAAC